GGCAGGGGGCAATAAGAGGCTGGGTGGGTAAAACAACCCCCCGGGCTCCTGCCCCACCCCCATACTGTGCGGGCAGCCACAATGCGACCAGCTTTGGGGTGGAGGCAGCAAAGTGGATCAAGTTGGCATCCCCGGGTGGGCCTAGGTCTGCTTGGGCGGGGCCTAGTGGGTGTGGCTGTGGTGGGGTGGAAATCTTGCCCCGCCCCTATGCTAGGTGGGTGTGGCTTCTTGAGTATGGCTTCATTGTGCAGGGGCGGAGACGGAGCGCCATGGCTTCCAGGAAGTGGGTTGGGCTTGGTCCATCCAGGAAGTCAATGTGGCTCCGCCCTCCCCCTTAGAAGCAGGTGGAGCCTGCTTGAGGTGATGGGCGTTGCTGCGCTTGGGGGGTGGGATTTGCCTGGCCACCTACTGGGCTGGTGGGCGTGGCTGTGCTGCGGGTGAGGACTGGGCAGGGCTTCCATGCAGGAAGTGGGTGTGGCTCTGCCCCCAGCCCGGAAGTGGGGTTCTAACCCCGGAAGTGGGGTTTTGACCTTAGAAAGGGGTGGAGCTCTGCCCTCAGCCTGGATGTGGGCAAATCTTTGAACCTGGAAGTAGGCGGGCCTTTGCCCCCTGACCCGGAAGTGTGGTCCCCAACCCAGTGGGCCTTTCCCGCTGGAAGTAGGTGGGCCTTTTTTCCCAGAAGTGGGTGGAGCTCCGTCTGTAACCCAGAGGTAGGGTCCCCAAACAGGAAGTAGGCAGGGCTTCTAACCAGGAAGTTGGTGAGGCTCCACCCCCACCTGGAAATGGAGGTCCCTAAACAGGAAGTGGGTGTGGCTCTACCCCAGCCCAAAAATGGAGATTCCCAAGTGTGGCCTTTATCCAGAAAGTAGGTGTGGCTCAGCCTGCATATGGAGGTCCCCAACCAGGAAGTGGGCAGGGACGCTACTCAGGAAGTGGGTGTGGCATCACCCCAACTCAAAAATGAGTCAGCAAACAGGAAGTGGGTGTATCTTCTACCCTGGAAGTGGGTATGGCTCCTCACCAACCTGGAAATGGGGGTCTCCAAACAGGAAGTGGGTATGGGGCCTACCCAGGAAGTAGGTGTGGCTCCACTCCAACCCAAAACTGGGGGTCCCTAAACAGGAAGTGGGCAGGGACTCTACTCAGGAAGTGGGTGTGGCTCCACCGCAACCCAGAAAAAAAGGTCCCTAAAGAGGAAATGGGTAGAGTTTCTACTCAGGAAATGGGTGTGGCTCCACCCCAACCCAAAAATGATGGTCCCTAAACAGGAAGTGGGTAGAGTTTTTACCCAGGAAGTGGGCGTAGCTCCACCCCAATCTGGAAATGGGAGTCCCCAAACAGGAAATGTGAGTGGGGTCTACTTCCTGCTTGTGGACCTGCATTTTTGGAGGTCCCCAAACAGAAAGTAGGTGTGGGCCCACCCCCACCCAAAAACAGGGGCCGCCAAACAGGAAGTGGGTGTGTCTCCCACCCAGGAAGTGGGTGTCACTCCCCCCAACCCAAAAATAGGGGTCCCCAAACAGGAAGTGGGTGCATCCTCTACCCAGGCAGTGGGCGCAGCCTCTGCCAAGGAGGGCAGGACCTCAACCAAAGAGCTTGAGGAAGCAGGGCTGGCAGTAGGGCTTGGCGCCGTGCTCCTGGAAGGTGCCCTTGGTCAGCGGGCGCAGGCAGAAGGCACAGACAAAGTGCTCGGGGTGGAAGCGCCGCGCCATGGCGGTGACGCAGCGCCCGGCGATGGGGCCCCCGCACCCGCCGCACAGCGACCCGCGGCGCTGGTGGTAGTGGCGCTCGCAGTAGGGACGGCCCCCATGCTCGAAGAAGCTGCCCTGCGCAAAGGGCGCGTAGCACTCCTGGGGAGGGAAAGGGGGGTCAGGGCTCACCCCCTTTGCCAGGATCCGCCCCCTTGACCAGGCCCCGTCCCTTGCCCACACCGCCAACCCACTTCCTTTCCCCAGGCTCTGCTCCCTTCCCACCTTCTTTCCCCACCCCTATCACAGGCTCCACCCTCCCCTCCCCCTCTAAGCCCCACCCCGTTCCCCTCCCTCCCTCCAAGTCCCACCCCTTCCCCTACCTCTCACTTCCCTTCTTAACCCCCTGCCTCCTTTCCCTAAAGCCCTGCCCCTACCTAATTCCCTCCCCTCTAACCCCTAAGCCCCTCCCCAAGCTCCACCCCTTCCCGGAACCCCTCCCCTCCCTTCTCAGGGCAGCCCTCATTCTCCTAAATCCCCACCCCCTACCTCAGGCCCCCCCCTTCCTCCAAGCCCCTCCCCCTCTCCCACCCCAAACCCCACTCCTTCCCTTCCCTATTTTCTCACCCCTGCCTCCTTCATCAAAGCCCCACCCCCTAGCTCAGGTGCCACCCCCTTCCCTCTCCCCTTCCCCAGGCCCTGCCCCTCCAAGCCCTCTCCCCACCCTCCTCAGGCCCCAACCCCTTCGCCGAGCCCTGCCCACCCGGCAGACGAAGCAGTGCGGGTGCCAGAGGGCGCCAAGAGCAGAGATGTAGCTGTCCAAGATGGCGGCGCTGCAGGCCTGGCACCGCGCCGAGAAGAGCTCGGCGAAGTCATCGCGGCAGTATGGGCGCCCCTCTTTCTCATGGAAGCCTGGGAGGCAGGAGGCGGGGTCAGTGGGGCAGAGGGCAGGGCCCCCAGGAGGCCCCACCCCCATCCCTCACACAGCAGAGAGGGGGCGTGGCTTGAAGACCCTGCCTCCTCCCGTGGGTACTCCCAAAATGGGGGAGGGCTGAGCCCCACCCTTCAAGGCCCAAAGTGGGAGGGGGTGGGACTTCTTGGTAGCCACACCCCCTACAAGCAAGAAGAGGTACTGGCTGATGTAAAGCCCCGCTTCCTAGATGGGGTATGGAGGAGGCTCCCTGGTAGCCACGCCCCCTTCTGATGCAGGTGTGGGGTGGGCGGGATGTGGCTTCTGGGAAACCCCACTCCCTGAGTGGGTCATGGGTGAGGGGGTGGGAATTCTCAGGTTCCTCGCCCCAAGCAGGCCCAATGAAGGGTGGGGGTGTGGCTACAGGGAAGCCCTGCCTCCTGGGATTGGTGTGTGGGGACAGGGGGCGGGGCTGACAGAAAGCCATGACCCCTGGGCATGGAGGGGCTTGTCCCTGACAGGGAGGGGGAGGGGCTCCCAGCATGCTGTGCAATGCCCTGCCCCCTCACCTTCCTCGCCAAAGGGCTTCCCACATTTCACGCAACAGAAGTGCTCTGGGTGCCAGTTCTGGTCCAGCGCTGTCACCATTTTCTGGGGGGGAACAGGGGAGAGGGACACCTGGTGACATCACTGATGGGCAACCCTGCCCCTTGCAGCACAGTGACATCACTGTGGGGTAAACCCACCCATTGCAATGCAAGGAGAACCCAACCCATCTGGCGCAGTGACATCACTGCCGGGCAAACCCACCCCTTCCCACACAGTGACATCACTACAGGAGTGACCTGCATCTTGCAGTACAGTGACATCACTGCAAGGCAACCCCACCCCTTCCAGTGAATTGGCATCAACATGAGGCAAACCTGCCCCTTCTGGCACAGTGACATCACCACAAGTGAGAACTGCCCCTTGTGGCGCAGTGACATCACTGCTGGGCACACCCGCCCCTTCCAGCAAAGTGACATCACGGCAAGGCAGCCCGCCCCTTTCAACACAATGACATCACTGCCAGGCAAACCCACCCCTTGCAGCACAGTGACATCACTGCCCGGCATTCATTCCCCTTTTGGTGCAGTGACATCACTGCAGGGCAACCCCACCGTTTCCTGACCAGTGACATCACTACATGGAACACCCACCCCTTCCTGTGCAGTGACATCACCACTGGGGAACCTCACCCCTTGCAGCACAGTGACATCACAACACGGTAAAACCACCCCATCCGTTGGCATGACATCACTGCAGGTCAATCCTGTCCCTTGCAGCACAGTGACCTCACTGCAGGGCAACCCCACCCCTTCCCACGCAGTGACATCACGGCCCCTGACTCACGTCCAGGATAGGCTGGTGGCAGCGGGCGCAGCGGGGGGCGAAGCGCTGGAAGTAGTCGCGCTCGCAGTACGGGGCGCCGTCCTTCTCGAAGAAGTTGCAGCCGCCAAGCGCCACGCCGCACTGCGCGCACACGAAGTGCTCGGGGTGCCATGGCGAGCCCAGTGCCGTCACCACCTGCCCACACGCACCGGCAGGCAATTGGGGGGCTGGCCGCACCGCCTGGGCCCACTGAGCCTGCCCTGGCTCCGCCCCCTCAGCCAGGCCCCGCCCCTTCCTCCTGACCATCCCATAATCACCTTCCAGGTCCTGGCCCTGCCCTCTCAGACCATGCCCCTCCTCCTTCTCCCTAAGACCCACCCATAACCCCCTTCCAAGCCTTGGCTCCACCCCCTCACAGCCAGCACCTCCCACTCC